TTTTTTTGAAATGTTGTGCTGGGGGTACATTGGAAGTTCACACAAAGCACTCAAACATACCAATAGCTGAACCCACCCCCCTTATCAATTCTCCCTTATCCTCTCCCCCATTCCTGAACAGTTCCTAGCCAAAGTTTTAATGAAAAAGTTTTAAGATGTAAACTTAAAATAAGCCAAGAGAAATTACTTTGGGAGACATACTAAGAAATTTAAGACCACTGGTTTTGTTCGTTTGTTTGTTGGGTTTTGTTGTTATTCTTCCTTCGTTTTTGTTTGTTTGTCTTTTAGTGTTGGGGACAGAACCCAAGACTTGCACATGCTACATGAGCACTCCACTCCAAGTCCCAGTTAGGCCATGTTTTAAAGATTGTATGTATAGTTAAAGGAGAAATTTACCTTTAGATGACTGCTTTTATGTTCTTTGAAGTTCTGTTGGGCTATGGGTCACAACCATAATAAGGATTTTTATATACACAAAATCAATAAGGCAAGATATATGTCAATATATAATCAGTCATTTACTCAACAAAATTTATGGAGTTAACCATATGCCGCAGCACCACGTTAGGCATGTTAGGCATGTTAGGCACCATGAGGTTACAGCCAAAAACACAGCTACAGCTCACATGGTACATAGAGCACAGAAAGACAATGGATTGAAGCAGATGGTCAGTCATATGAATAATTATTATGGTTTAATGAGTTTTCATGGGAGTGTTCAATAGGGAGCTGAGAAATAAACAAGATGGTACTGACTAATGGAAAGGAGTAACTGAAGAGGTGGGGAGGGCCGGGCTTCAGTTCAGTGGTACAGGCTGGCCTAGCAATGTTGGGTCTCTGAGTTTAATCCCAGAGAAAAGAAAATGAGCAAGTGGGAGATATTTCAATGAGGCTGAAGAAAGGGGGAAGGGGCTTGTAGGCTGTCAAAGGGTAGACTTTGTGTCCAGAGCAGCAGGAAAACAGTTAAATAGTATAAGAATCAACTAAGTCAGGTCTTTTCTGTTTAATGCCTTGTATAGTTATATTGTGCAGATGTCAGGTTAACTCCCTGAATGTTTGCCTACGTTGTATAGGTGCTTAACGTTCCAGCGTTCCTGTCTTTGAACAAAGGGGCAGGGTTTTTTTTTTTTTTTCCTTTTTCTTAGATGAATAAATTTCTTTCTTAGATGAGTTAAGTTCCAGATGTCCTATCTTTTAAAATGCTTGCTTAAGTGACTGTTGCTCAGAGGAATTTCCTTGCTCCCTTGCTCCAAGTATTTGTCCCATGTGTTCTCTTTTCAAATTAACCAATTGCAGAGATTGTGAACCCAAACTTGCTAGATCAGGATGAAAGAGATTTGTGTTAGACATAAAAACCTGAGTGGCTTCCTATTTGTGTGCTTGCTAACTAGACTCTTTGCCTGTGGCACTCCCTTTTGCAGAAGTAGATTTTGCCTTGCCTATAGGCCTCTGGTTGTTGTCGTCTCTTGTGACACCCCAATATCCTGAATTCATCTAACAGTAGGGGAAAAGAAGTCATCTTTGTATTTTAAAAATGAAACTTTGGCTTGAGAGGATGAGGAGGGTTACAAGGGGAAGCAGGGCTTAGTAAGCATAATTAGGAATCTAATTTTCAACCTTTAACAACTTTCTCAAAAACTATGAACAAGGGTTACCTCCATCATCAAAATGCTACTTTACCACTATATCTCAGAGGTAAAGTGCTTACCAAGAATGTGCAAAGCCCTGGATCAGTCCCAGCACCATAAGAAAAAGGAAAATTGTCTGTGACCAAGCCTTTTTTCTTTGTAGGACTGTTATTATTTTAGCCTTTTAAGATTAAAGACATGGAGAAATAAAAATTCCAAGAAAAAAAATCAATTATTCAAATTATTTTTCTTTCATGGTTAAAATACATGCATATATCTCATTATTGCTTTAACAAGTTACCCTAAAAATTAGTGACTTAAAACAAAAATTATGATGTCTTTTGCCCACAATTCAATTGGCCTGCTCTGTGGGCAAGACTCAATGGGAACACTCTGTTCATCCAGCAATGGGAGGGAAGGGTTCAGTAAGGCCTGGTGGATTTCCTTTCACATTGGTCCATTCAGCATGGGTGGGGCTGAGGACTGAGGTCTCAAGTCCTATTCCATGGTGAGCACTGCAGAACTCTAGGAAGTCCTTTTCAATATCTGCTAAGCAATCAGCAAATTTTCATAGTCAGAAAGAGGGTGTGGCAAGGTCCTTGCACCAATCTGGCACAGCCCTTCATATAAATGAAGGGTCAGCTTTGCATCAATCACTTCCACGGAAGTGATCCCTCTCCTGGCCTGGGTGAAAATGGCTTCAGGGTCATCTAGAATTCACTGGTTTGTCTGCTTGGAGTGCTTATTTTCCAAGGCTGGAGCAACTGTCTGGAGTGGTCATGACTGCAATGTCTTCAGCTGTGGTGGTAATGGTCCTCTGCAGTTGTTGGAGTGTCCTCAGAGTGACTGGAAAGTGTCCAAAACAGCCAGGCTGTCATGAGGTCAGTCAGCTGGTTGCCAGAAAAGAGGCTATCTTGAGTGATTCCACTCAAGGTGCCAAACATGAGGAAGGGGCTGTCCAATGGTTGCTCCTGTTTTAATTATTCACAGAAGCATTCAAAGTATGTTTACCAGGAAGATCTAACAAAAAACCAACAAGGAAACAATTCTAATAATGTTGAACAGTGCTTAATGCCTAATTCCTGCCTCATGTGTCCTAGGGAGAGTGGGCCGCTCTGATCTGTCTCAGTTACTGGATAAAATCTGTTTTCATGCCTGAACTGTGGTTTGGTAGCCGGATTCAAATAATTAATGAAGGGAGAAGAAACTGATCAGGTCAGCTAGTGAAAAGGACTGGTAATTTTATGACGTGCAATACGATTCTAAAAGAATTGCTAATCTGTGGAATTTTACAAGAATCTCTAATCTGTGGGAATTTTACAGTTTCATTGTTCAACATTGTTCCTGAAATAGCATGTTACCTGACTCTAACTTCCTTCTCTCCATCTGCAGGTTTTTACCCCTCCCTCCTTTCTCATTACAGCTTCCACCCCTGCTTCTTCCAGTATTTCTTTCCCTCATTTACACACTCACTGAACAAAAATTAAAGGTCCTTCACATCGATTAATGAAGCAATGAGGATTCGCAATTTTAAAACTGTTCTTAAAATGTAAAAAAAAAAAGGAGTATTGGCAATAAAGTGATTCAAGTTCAATAAAATATGAAAAGAGAAAGCGAAATAATCAATTTAAAAAGGAATAAAGTCAAACCAGTTGGGTGGTTGAGGATAGCACAAATATGTTACAATGAATATAAATTTTTACTGCAATAATAATAATAATAATAATAATAAACAACGTAATAGCCGGTACTGGTGGCTCACCCCTGTAATCCTAGCTACTCAGGTGGCAGAGATCAGAGGATTCGCGGTTCAAACCCACCACGGCAAATAGTTCGGACGACCATCTCAAAAAACCCATAAAAAAAAAGGGCTGGTGGAGTGGCTAAAGGTGTAAACCCTGAATTCAAGCCCCAGTACCGCAAAAAAACAAAAAATAACAAACAAAAAAAGTAATTACCTGAAAGATTTAAAAAGGGAAGAACTAGAAATTTGGAGCGGCACTGAGATTTGAATATAGGCAGACCAGCTCTTGCTATTATCCTTATTTTTTGGATGAGGACATCCAGGTGATGAGGAACATTCCTGGTGACAGTTTGAATACTAAACGTCACACGTTTTCTTTTAGAAAAGCCGGTTCTGAATGGTCCTCACCATGGGAGCTATTTAAAATGCGAGAAGGACGCACACCGATTTTTCTCGCGATTTTGGCCTCAGCGGGCTCCGGCCTGAACTACATTTCCCAGCGTGCCGCGTTCATGTCTAAGGTGCCTGCATGAGTCAATCGCGTGGCGCGGCGCAGTTGCGGGCGGGCGTCTGACGCGGGCGCTTCGCGGTTTGAATGGCTACGGCCCGGGCCCTCAGTTCATTTGAGGACCCGCTGCCTAGGACTGTGCTATGCCGTCTGGAGGCGATCAGTCGCGCGCCCCCGCCTCCTCCCCCGTGGCCTCAGCTTCAATGAGGAGGAGGGAGGACGACGCCGAGCCGAGACGTAGCGCAGTCGGCGGGGTCGCCGACCCCTCAGATCCAGCAGCGGTCGACGAGCTGTGTAGTCGCCTCAACATGGACGAGGCGGCGCGGGCCGAGGCCTGGGGACAGCTACCGGGCATGAGCGAGAGCTATACGCTGGAGGTGCGCTCGGGAGGGGACAGGGCGGGGCTTCGTGGCCTGGTCTGCGCGGGCGCCCTCGCGGGAACGGGGGAGCCTGTGTGTCCCTGCGTCCGGGACACCAGACTTGGCGAGGTCTCGGGACTCTGCGGGCGAGTCCTGCCGCGCGCTTTTCGTCTTGGGTCAGGTGGGGCACCTTTCGCTTTACAAAAGTGGTGTGCGTGGCCCATGTGAACACCTTGGTAGAGTGAACAGGTTCTATCTAACGGACAATGGAGGGCTTGTCCCGAGTGCGGAGGTCCGCGGATTGCCGCGCTCGTTCCGGGCTTCAAGTCCTTCATTTCCAGCCTCGCCTGGACCCAACGGCCCTTGGCCAGGCATTGCATCCGATGGAGGAGAAGCGTTGTCGGGTTTGGGCTGTGTGCGTGGGAACTAATGAAGACGGGCTATCTGCGCTCCCGGGTGTGGTGTCACCCCCACATGTTACTGGGGATCGGTAGGACCACCGCTGGGTTGCGGGCTTGTTGGTCCCTTTCTTCGGACCCGGCTGGCGAAGAGAAAAATGGCCTCTAGCCAGTGCCTGTCAACTCCGTAGGCACCGCCCTCCGCGGGCCAATGGGAAGTGACGCGGAAGTCACCGGTTTTACCAGCTGTTCCACTGCCGGTGTGTGCCATTTAAACATGAGGCCCTTTGATTTTTTCTCATATAGTTTTATATATAGATTCTAGAAAGAGCAGGGCAGATAGGCTTAGAATGTGAAGGCCTAAGGTGGTATTTAACTATATATAATACAGTGTTTTTTCTGTTCTTTCAGTTAAGTATTTTAATCTATTCATATATTAATAAATTTGAACTCGTTACTAGTTCCTCTTCCCATCGTTATATGTACAGAATAAGTACAGTAGATATGATGGCTTTTAATTTAACCATTGAAGGTTAACTAAGGCACTGTGTAAGTTTGGGCACGGAAAGCTCTCTCAAAAAGAAGAGGCGACGTTCCTCTATCTCTAGTGGTTTCCTGTAGTTAGGCAAAGAAAATGACTCTTTTTTTGTTTGAAAGGTGTAAGTGCCAAACAGGTTCTATTTTACTCTCAAGATGACTCTAGATAGGACAAGTATTATCATACGTTTGAGGTATTCAACTCAGATTAAATCATGTGAAATCTATTGTTATGAGCAAGTGATACATAATATCAGATGGTTAGTAAATTATTTTTGGAAACTCATTTGATTACTTGATTTATTGATGAGTGAAACTTTAATCTCAGCTTCTTTGCCCAGTTTTCCAATAAGTGCGCGAATATTTTTTGAGTACCTGTTATTTGCTACAGAATCTATTGCTGGAGATAAAGCAGTGAAGAACTCAGTGCCCCACCCTGGAGTTTATGTCAAGTGCTGTAAGAGAACATGGGTGGCAGTTTCCTAGAAGTGTGCAATGGAAAATAAAGTCATGATATTTAATTTAGAGCACTGGCTATAGAATTTTATCTTTGATTTTTGTATTTTCTTTGTTTTATTCTTATATAGCTCATTTAATCTCATGTTTTAGCTAAGAAAATGAAGTTTTAAAATTGGTTTTTAAGCCAATATATGTGTAAATGTGAAAAATGGACTTTCTGATTGCTCTCATTTTATTTAGACCAGCCATTGGATTCAATGAAACTAAAGGACATCTTCCAATTAATCATAACTGGGAGAAAAAAAACTATGTTGATATTTTTTTTTTTAGATAGGGTGTTCCTTATGTAGCCCAGGTTGGCCTCCAATTCATGATCCTCCTACCTGGCCTCCTGAATGTTGTTAGGATTACAGATGTATGCCCCATGCTCAACTCAGATGACCTTTTAGAAGTAGTGCCTTAAAACTTACTTTTTGAATGGCAGTGGACCCATATTAGTCCATATGGTTATAAATTTATGTATTTATGCGTATGTCTTGATGAGGTATAAAATAGTGGCAGAACACAAGTTCAAGCTTAATTTTACATTTATTTCTTTTATTCTAGATTTTAAGCAAAAATTTAAAAGTATATAAATAACAATATTATTTCAGTATAGCTGTGTACCAATTATCCTAAAAGTTAGTGTCGTAAAACAACAGTTTTTTTGCCCATTGATTCTATAGGTTAGAAATCCAGACAGGCACAGTGGGGATGCCATGGGGATAACTGTGCCTCACTTGAAGACTCAAGCAGCTGGGGCTTCTTGGCATCTCTGTGTATATGACTGACCAGTCCATATGGTCTCTCTCCAGCATGGCAATTCAAGGTAGCCAGGCTTTTTACATGTTGGTTTAGGACTTTCAAGGGACATGTCCTAAAAGAGAGAGCCAGGTGGAATCTGTTTTCTGTTTTGGATCTTTGAAGTTACATAGCTCACTCCCACCTATGTCATTAGTTGAGACAGTTAATCAACTAGGGAATACAGGTCCGCACAGGTTAAGTGGGGAACACAGATCACTACCTCTCATGGAAGATTCTTCCATGGGATAGGGTCATCACTGGACCCTATTCCATAACATAAATAGTTTCCCATAAATATAAACAGTTTCAATTTAAAATAAGACTTTATATTGAAACACATATAGCTCATTATGTAAAAAATCTGTTTTCTTTTACAGGGAAATGATCTTCACTGGCTAGCATGTGCCTTATATGTGGCTTGCAGAAAATCTGTTCCCAACTGTGAGCAAAGGGACTGTTGAAGGAAACTATGTATCTTTAACTAGAACCTGAGATGTTCAGAACAGAGGTAACTGTATTAGAGTTTGAAAAGTAGAATGTGGCTAATATAAAAGCTCATAAATTAATAATGATAGTGTATTCTCTTATTCATATTTTCTGAGCATTTGTCCCTGTGGATTGTTGAATTTAGAAGCTAGCTAGTTTGTGATTTTCCTTCCTATTTCAAGGTTAGTAGCCATTATATTTTACTAATTTGATTAAAATAGTTGCATTTTAATGTATTACATACTTGTATGGAAGAATTTACTTTTAAAGCTTATGAATTATTTTATAGTATTGAGATAAATTTAGATAGGATTATTAAGAAATTTTGGGGATACATTTTAAGTTCAAAAGGTAAATAAATATCAAGTATATGGTATTATGCTTAGACATATATGTACAGGACTTGTGTCATAATATGTGTGTGTGTGTATATATATATATGGAGCCTATAGTAAAATTGAAGGTGTCCATTCTCTGAACCCATTTCTTGAGGTAGTCCCTAAAAAATCCTAAGCACATTACAAGATATGTTTTTTATAGCATTTTTTGTTGTGAGAAGTTAGTAGCAATCTAAATTTCCATTCATTGGGAAATGAATGCAAAAAAAAAAAAACCATGGTATGTTTATAGGAAGAAATATTTTTAGCAATTAAATAAATGAATATATCTATATGTATCATCATTAATGAATTTCAGAAACATTGAGTAAAAAGCAAGTTGCAGAATGCTTGAGTATAGTACATTTTATATAAAATATGTATAAGCACTTAAAAGATACTAATTGTTCTTGGATATGTATGTGTATAGTAAAGTATGAAAACTAAGATGGGAGAGAATCTCAGAATGATAGTTATTTGGAGAAGAAGAGTAAAGAATGGAAATAAGGAGATTGGGAATTTTGACTTTCTCTAATATGTTCAGTTCTTAAAAAATTCTGAAGCAAGCATGGCAAAATTATTCAGTATGTTAATATTTTGGGGGTACATTATTCTAGTATTCCTCTCTTCCCCAACCCTGACTCCACAGTGCTGGGACTGAATCCAGGGCCTTGCTCATGCTATGTGAGTATTCTACCATTGGACTTTATCCTCAGCCTAATTTTGTTTTATGTTTTAAAAAATCTTGGATAATCTTAAAAAAAAAAGTAGATTGAGAGATCAGAGTAGTAAGCCAGTTTGTAAGAGATTAAGCTAGTCAAAGACATGAATTATGATTTTATATAACTGTCTAAACATAGTTTAATGAGGTAATTTTTTATTTAATTTTAATTACTTACATTGGGATACTTTACATTTATGTTATAAAATACCTCGTTTTTTATCTTTGATAACAGCTTAATTGAATTTTTTAACAAGATGAAGAAGTGGGAAGACATGGCAAATCTACCCCCACATTTCAGAGAACGTACTGAGAGATTAGAGCGAAATTTCACTGTATCTGCTGTAATTTTTAAGAATATGAGCCCATTTTTCAAGACATATTTAAATATCCCCAAGAGGAACAACTCGTCAACAAAGGGAAGAAAACAACGGTATGCTTTATATTTGCTAATGGGAATACACCTTTCTCTATGCTATAATTTTGATCCTCGAGTTTATTTTGCTGGTCTTAAAAAAGAAATGTGATTTTATAAATAATATTTTTCCTCAAACGTTTTCTTTTAATAATAATTTTTTGTTTCAATATGTGTTAATTATGAAGAGTTTGGCTTCTTTATATTTCAAAATGTACAAGATCTTTGTTTATATAAACTTTCCTTCTTTGTATAAGCAATAAAAATGCAGACAGCATGGTCAGACCTTCAGATTTTTATTTGTCTATAGACCATATATTGACCACTGTATTTTATTATTGACTATCATAGGCTATTACTGTTATTTTATTTTTATGTCAAATGGGTAACAATCTCCCTGAAATGACTTCTCCATGTATTTTAAGTAGAGAAACTAGATTGAGGAATGAATAGAGAACTAGAACTTCTATGAATTCATGCTTTCTGATAAGATCTACAAAGTCAGTAACTTACTCTGACTTTGTGTTTTTTTCTTTCTTTTCTTTTTCTTGGATGTACTGAGTTTGAACTAAGGCAGTTGCTCTACCACTTGAGCCATATCTCCATCCCTTTCATTTGTTTATTTTTGAGGTAGGATCTCACATTTATGCCTGGGCTGGCCTGGACCACAATCCTATCCTCTTATTTATGTTTCCCATGTACGGGGATGGGGATGCACACCTCCATGCCAAGCTTTTTATTGGTTGAGATGAGGGTCTCATGAACTTTTTCCCAGGCTTGCCTCAAAGCATGATCCTCTTGAACCTCTTGATCCTCTAGAGAAGCTAGGATTACAGGCCTGAGCCACTACGCCTGGCTTCTATCTTTCTTTTAATATGAACAATTACGAGATATAAATTCTTCTCCATTAACATTAAAATTTTTTTCATGAAATAAAAAATTCAACATCCTTTCATGATAAAAGCTCTGATGAAACTAGGAATATAAGGAATGTATCTCAACATAATAAAGGCTGTATATGACAGGCCTAGAGCCATTATCATACTAAATGCAGAAAAACTGCATTATTCAACATAGTCTTGGGATTCCTAGCCAGAGCAATAAGACAGGAAGAAGAAATAAAAGGAATACAAATGGGAAAGAAGTTAAACTATCCCTATTTGCAGATGACACGATCTTATACCTAAAAGACCTAGAAAACTCCACCAAAAAACTCCTAGACATCATAAACACCTTCAGCAATGTAGTAGGATACAAAATCAATTTACAACTATCAATAGCCTTTCTGTATACCAGCAATGAACACACTGAGAAAGAATATAGGAAAATAATTCCATTTTATAATAGCCTCAAAAAAGATCTAGGAATAAACTTAACAAAAGAAGTGAAAAAACCTCTACTATGAATAACATAAACCACTGAAGAAAGAAATTGAAGAAGACTATAAAAGATGGAAAGATTTCCCATGCTCATGGATTGCAGAATCAATATCATAAAAATGGCTATATTACCAATATATGCAACAATCCCCATCAAAATTCCAGTGACATTCATCACAGACATTGGAAAGTCAAAGTTCATTGGAAGCATAGAAGACTGTGAATAGCCAAGGTTTTAACTGAGCAAAAGAGTAATGCTGGAGGAGGTATCACAAGACCTGACTTCAAACTATAACAAACCATTAGCAATAAAAAAGTATGGTACTGGCACAAAAACAGACATTAAGACTAGTGGAACAGAAGAGAAGACCCAGATATGAGTCCACAAAGCTATGCCCACCTGATTTTTAACAAAGGTACCCAAAATATATGATGGAAAAAAAGACAGCAAATGTTGCTGGGAAACTGGGTATCAGCATGCAAAAAACTGAAACTAGAATCCGTGTCTTTCACCCTGTACAAGTATTACCTCAAAGTCGATTAAGGACCTGATTATAAGACCTGAAACTTTGAAGCTAGTGCAGGAATAAGCAGGAAATACATTGGAACTAATAGGCATAGACAATGCCTTCCTAAATAGAACTCAAATGACTCAGCAACTAAGAGAAAGGACTGACATGTGGGACTACATGTTCTTAAAGTGGAATGAGAAAGGTGTTGATAAGAAAAATAACAGCGTGCTATTGGAGTGGCTCAAGTGGGTAGAGTACCGGCCCAGCAAGCATGAGGCTCTGAGTTCAAACCCCAATACCACCAAAAAAAAAAAAAAAAGGTACAGGAAAAAAGAGTTGACATTGTTGACTAGAATGAATAATGTTTTTTTTTAAGTATGAAAGTTTCCGGCTGGTGCCAGGGGCTCACACCTGTAACCCGAGCTACTCAGGGAGGCAGAGATCTGGAGGATTTCTATTTGAAGCCAGCCCCAGGCAAATAGTTCATGTAACTCTATCTCAAAAATACCCAACACAAAAAATGGCTGGCAGAGTGTCTCAAGTGTACCTGCCTTGCAAGCATGAGGCCCTGAGTTCAAATCCCAATACCACCCAAAAAGAAAAGTTTCACAAGTTATGAAGGATGTTTACAAAAAGTACAAACTTAAAAACATGGTAGACCATTTACATTTTTATATAGTTGACACCTCTGACATGAAAGTAGCTGATCTAATTTTACTTGAAGTTTTGGGGAATTGGCTTTTTACAATTAATTTTTATAAATTTTATATACAAACTTGGTTCCCAGAAAGGCTAGTGAGATCATTTATAGGAAGTGAGTTGGGGGTGTGCCTGCCAAGCAAGCGAGAGACCTTAAGTTCAAACACCAATACTGCAAACAAGTAAATAAATGAAGTATTTATAGAGTATCTTTTTTTTTTGGAGTGTCTATAAAATGATTTCATACTGTACTTGTTATTACCCAATTCTAATTAAGAAAATTGTCTTTATATTTACCTTACTCTATACTCTTTTCGTGTATGTGTGTGTGTGTGTGTGTGTGGTGTGTGTGTGTGTGTGTGGTGCTGGGGATTATTGAACCCAGGACCTTGTACCTGTTAAAACATGATGTACCATTGAGCTACACCTCTGGCCTTCTGTCACTCAAAGTTTTTTTTGTTTCTTTGTTTCTTCATTTGTTTTTTTTGAAACAGGGTCTTGCTGTATAGCCCAGGCTGGCCTGGAACTTGCATTCTTCCTGTCTCAGCCTCCTGAGTTTGGGTTACAGATGTGAATCACCATGCTAGGCTTACTCTAGTTTTTACTAGAGCTTTTTTGCTAACAATTACTACTACTAATGGCATTTACTGTGTGTTTATTATGGGGCAGGGACTCTTCTAAGACTTCACCATGTATTCAGTTAATCTTATGGCAACCTTATGAGGCTGACACTGTTGTTATAGATGGGGAAAATTATTACTTGAAAGGTTAAGTAATTTTACCTGGTTCACACAACTGACAAGTGTAGCGCTGTTACTGAAATGAAGGTAGTCTGACTACAGTACCCATGTGCTTCGCCGTGGCTGTGTTCTGCATCACACACTATTATTGAAAGATTGTCACGGAGTAGTCACTGAGCACTTATTCACAGGAAGTACTTATTAGATACTATGTAGAACACAAGTGTTCAAAAAATGAAAACCCAGTGTCTGAGAGTTTACAGGATAGTGTGGCAGAGGAGGCAGGTATAAAGTGTCCAGTTTGTATAGTGGAACATGTCATAAAAGATACATGAATCCAATAGATAATGGAAACTCCGGATTTGTGAGGCAAAAATAAATCTGGATGAGCCAGTCAGAAAATGTTACACAGAATAAGTAAAAACAGATCTTGAAGGATGAATGAGATGTCAACAGGTGAATTTGAAGATAATAGAGCTTCCATTCAGATTGAAATAAAAAAAAAATAGACACAGCAAAGCAGAAGAAATTTAGGAGTAAGTAGATTAGTCAAGTTTTTTTCTGGGTTTCTTAAGAGGTAGCATTTAGCGTGGCTTAAGTGTTACAAGCTAAAAATTTGGATTTTATCTTGTGAGGCAATCAATACTTGAAATAGTTTTATGTGTACTATGGTAGGTAGGCTACTTTTTAAAGCAGGACTCTTGACATTAATCCTTACCCTGGACTGATGAATTAAGTACAGTATTGTACCCAAGTAGAATAATCTTTTGACAGATGAAGGACTAGGCCCAGAGAGAGCAAGTGTACCTAGCTAATGATAGCTCTGGAACCAAACCTGTCTCCTGCTCTTCTCGGGATACTTTGTGCTTCTTGGCTGTTTTGTTAGCAGAAGGCTGTTGTATTATCAGATGTCTTCTCTGAATAATGGCAGTGGTATTGTAGAAAAGTCAAGCTTAAAGTAAGCCTGAAACTCCTTTAGCAGAAAACACTGCAAAATACAACAGGTACTCTTAGTAGGTGGAAATACAAGGGATATTGGAAGGCCAGAATTTACATTAAAAAGGGTCTTTTATGATTTGACATAGTCTGGCACATCATTAGGGAGAGATGACTATGGTTTATCAGCTCTGATAGAAGGAAAAATGGAGAGGTAGATCTGTGTATAGGGGTTCAAAAGCAGCATTAGTTGTGCTAATGTCATTAAAAGAACTACTGTTTGTCATTTCAGTTTCCACTTTTACATATCTTGACTTAAAGACTATAATTTTTTTTTCTCTTTCCCTGGCTTTCAACTGTTTCCTCTAGGTATTTGGTTGGGGCAGAACTTGCATATCTTCCCCCATGAAGCTGTATCTGGTATCCTTCTCTACTTGTGGGTTTTGTTTTACACCTACCTTGCAATAATTTTAGATGTCTTTTTTATGTTTGTTCTGTTTATCTCATGACTTTTTTTTCCATCCCCCAAAGGCGGCAGCCCTGTACCGTGTCTGAAATTTTCCATTTCTGTTGGGTGCTATTTATATATGCAAAAGGTAAGAAAGGAGTAATACATATGTTTATTTAGATATTAATTAATTCATTTAAATTTTCAGGTTCTATTTTTATCAACTTGTAATGTGTATCAGAAAGAGATCATCCTGTAATTTTTTCTCAATTGTTTTTATCCCAGATTCTTTTTTAAGTAAAGTCTTTTAAATTTATTATATAATCCAAATCTTCTTTATTAAATGGTAACTCCTTTAATTTTATTCTTCTTCTGCACCTTTTGACCTAAAGTTATTCTTCTGAATTATAAACTGAAAACACCTGATTCTGTGTATTAGTTTGTATTTTGAGCTGTTTTCATGAGATGTCTTATTCAGCTGAGTAGGACTAATGGTCAAGTAGTTTAGATTACTTTCTGCATATACTGCATAATATACTTAGTCAAATGCCTTAGATACAATTTCTTCTTTTTTCTTCTCATCCCATTTAACCTATCCAAGGTTGCATTCACTGAAATACCTCTCTGTTACTTTTGTTCAGTATTTCTGGGTAGGAGTAGTTCTTAGTAATCTAAAGAAAGAATGTATAATTTTGTCAATTACATAGCATTTTCTATAGATTATGTAGCATACCTTTCCACTAAACCTGATAAAATGCAAAGTTCATAGAGCTGGAAGGAGTTTCCCCTTATCTGAAGAGCATACATTCAAATTCCCCAGTAGATACCTGAAACCACAGATAGTTTTGAACGCCAGGTATGTATACTATGTTTTTTCCAAACATACCTATATAATGTTTAATCTATAAATTAGGAACAAAAGATATTAATAATAATAACTTAATTAAATAGAACAATCATAATAATATACTATAATAAAAGTTATGTGAGTATGGTCTCTGACTCAAACCATCCTGCTATACTCTAAAATCTTAGCAACCTCAGATACAGTTTTCTTTTTTCTTAAGAACTTGTACCTTTTCACTTAAAGGAAGTACTTTAGGGCTTCTCTTTGGTATGTCCAGGTTGCTGGCATCACTACATTTGCTTGTAGGGGGGTCATTATTAAGTGAATTAAGTGTTACTTGAATTAAAGCACTTGCATACTGTGACAGTAGATGTAATAACCAAGACTAATGGACAGGTAGCATATAAAAGGGATGGGTCATGTCCCAGATGAGACAGAGCTGGACAGAGCAGAACAGTGATAGATTTCATCATGCTACTCCAAACAAAATGCAGTCTAAAACTTAGGACTTGTTTATTTATGAAAAAATTCACTTAATATTTTCAGACCACTGTTGACTGAAGGTAACTGAAACTGTAAAGAGAAACCATACATAAGAAGGTATTAGTACATTAGGAATTCTCATCATTAGGACAAATATTTCAACTTAGTCACTTAAAGATTAACTAGCTGAGGCCCAGAAACTAACTGCTAGGAACGGAGTTAAGATTTGAACTCAGATTTCCTGTCTCCTGGCTTTGTGCTAGATGTGAAGAAGGCTTTTGGCAAGGATGTGTTATGACATTGGTCTCCAGGTGATTTGATTACAGCTGGTACTCTAAATTGATTGCAGCTGGTACTCTGACTAGTTAGGTGATAGTCATCTTTCCTTCCCTGAGCTACATGCTTTATTGACAAGAAAAATCTTTATTATGTCAAATGTAAGATGTTAAATTATGCTTTCTATCACCACACTGGCACCTCTTTCCTTCCTCCTTCCTTCCTTTTTTTTCTTCCCCTGGTGGTACTGAGGATTGAATTTAGCCTTGACCCAGTCCTTTTGTTTTTACTTTTCAAGTAGGGTCTTGAAATTTGTCCAGGCTAGTCTCAGGCTATGATCCTCTTACCTCCATCTCTTGAATAGCTGAGATTACAAGGCACACACCACCATTCCTGGCTTGTTTTTGAGATAGAATCTCGCTTACTTTTGCCTGGGTGCCTCAAACAGAGACCCTTTATCTCCACCTCCGAGTAGCTGGGATAACAGGTATGCACACATGCCCTGTTTGGCAGCTTCTTTAGTGGAGATAAGGTGACATGATTGGGCTGGAGATGTGTTTCAGTAGTAGAGTGTTTGCCTAATACGAACAAGGCCGTGGCTTCAGTATTCAGCAAAAAATAAAATAAAATGACATAATCAATGACATGAAGTAAAGAAAGCTTTGGCATATATAAAGTGTTTTTATAATGGCTGCCACAAGTTTCAGCTTCTATGGCTAATATTACATATGATGGTAATCTTTTCATATGATCATGTAGGGCTGATGTGTGGTTTCTAGGATAGTTGTTTATTTTGTATGTGTTTTCTTAGGAGTAAATATTCATTATATAAACTATTAAAATAATTTTATGGTCCTTATTTTGATTTCACTTTATCAATTGGGAAAGAACAGAATCTGTTTATGTTTTGTATTTGAAATTAACTAGGTGTTTGAATTTTACCTTATTAATTCAGTCTATAATAATTTGATCCAGAGAACCTTTGTCTTTTCACAATCTACGACTATGGCTTTTTTTTTTCTCTCATTTGTTTTTGAGAGGGAGATCTTGCTATGTTGCCCAAGTTGGCCTCAAACTTGACATCTCCTGCCTCAGCCTCCCAAGTAGCTGGGATTACAGGTGCATGTTACATCTCAACTATGCTCTTTTGTGATAACTGCACTAGGACCTTTTCTTATAGAGTAGCTTATTGTTTTTATTCAGTTCTTGGTTTATATTGGGGGAAGATGGACTCTTTCAGTCACTTTTCTCATGACTTTCTCTGTAGCATATGGTCATTCCAGATTATCTCATTCCCAATAGATAAACTAATTCTTTGCCTGCTATCTTTGTTGACTTGATATGGCAAATGACAGATTTGGGCTTGTCACAAGAAGGACTTTGTGGCCAGAAGACCAATAAGCACCACTTCCTGTTTTATACAAAATCTAGAATCTTCTCATTCTTGATAAATAAGCCTAGTCTAGTGGTTAAATAGCTTTCCGTTTGCCTGCTTTGTTGATTGAAAGATAAAGTATCTCATAAAGTGAGATTTGTGGGACAGTCCTCGAATTTAAATTAACCTGATCTTTAGGAGCATTTCAGCTTTGTGTTAGAAGTTAGTGTTGCTAGTTTTTCCTTCTATGGCTAGTGACGAGTTTAAACTTGTCAGTTTGATGGGCTTTGTGGCTTGAAGCCAGTAGGTGCCACTTCCTGTTATATAAATGAGGAAATGAGTATATTTTAATATTAAACTACTTCATAGTAGAGTCAAGCAAGTTGGTTTGGTTATATCAATGTAGAATTTAATCTATTAATAATCATTCGCCTTTCTGGCAACAGAAGAATATTTTTTTCTGTAATTCATGTAAGTTAATTTGTTGAACATTTCCATCTATACTAAAAAAGAATTGCAAATCCTGCTATGTTGAGGTAAGTGGCAACTTTCTTTAAAAGAAATGTGTGTATACACATGCTTTTGGGTACGTATTTCATCTAAAAATGCTAAGGTCTGAAAATTCATTAAATATTTTTGAAATGAATTTGTCTATTATAGAATGTATAAATAAATATGAAATGTATATGCAGTGTTTAACCAAAAAAGGGATAGGTTTGATGTTATTTAATAACACCAGGAGTACTTTTTAATCTCACTGATCATAGAAACTGATTTCAATGTTAGTCTTGAACCTGCACTACAGAAAGGACAGGTTTTATATGTCTTTGTTACCAATCACTGCAATTTTCCTAGGGTTAATAGTTGTAGAAGTTAATTGTTCTCCTGTTACATTAATCCATATGAGCTTATGTCATATGTAGAAAAATATTTAAAATGTTACTATTAGGACTCTAATTAAAGATTCTGGTCTAAAGGTATGTATGTGAGAAAAACAATCATATGTATATTTTTCAGTGTCCCCTTATGAGTATTTTTAGTAATTTTCATGGTAGAAAAATGTTTTCATATAAAATAATTTCTTAACTTTCAGAAAATTTACAATTTTTTTTCACAATTTTCAAAGAGGTCTGGAGGAGTATCTTAAGTAGTAGAGCACCTCCCCAGCAAGTGCTAGATCCTGAGTCCAACCCCAGTACTGCTTAAAAAAAAAAAAGAATTTTCAAATAGACCAATGATAACAAAGTTTTAGTCAGCTACTATATATTTAGTAAATATTTATTTAATGAATATTGAATGCATGCAAGACATTTTTAGTAAAGTGTTAGTTTTTGTTAAACTCTTAGAAATTTATTAAAATATAAGACTAATGTCTGAAAATGTAAATTTGCCAAAACACTTAATGCCACTCAAGTTGCATAATATCATTATAATTAAATTAAGAAAAAATTTAAAATGTCATAAAATTGATGCTAATTTAACCTTTAACTTTATAATCCTATAGGTAATTTCCCTATGATTAGTGATGATTTGGTCAACTCTTACCATCTTCTGCTGTGTGCTTTAGACTTAGTTTATGGAAATGCAATACAGTGTTCCAATCGTAAAGAACTTGTGAACCCTAATTTTAAAGGTAAGTTTGTATATCAAAGGTTTTTGTGGGGTTTTTTGGTGGTACTGGGGTTTGAACTCAGGGCCTAAGGCTTGCTAGGCAGGCACTCTACACTTGAGCCACTCTGCCAGCCCTGTCAAAAATTTTTGGACAACACATATTTCTACATTATGTTTTCTCTTAGGAATTATATGCACAGTACAGGTTGCCAGCATCAGAGAAATGTGTATTTGAAAAGTTTCCATCATCATAATCATCTAGGGCACTTATAATGAGGAATCAACCTCTCTGTCATTTATTAAAAAATCAAATGCAGATATCACAAAATTTAAAGTCTTAAATGACAACTTTAGTGTTTCTGAAATACATATTCAACAAGGAAAAGGATTTAGAAACTCAGCAAAGCAAACATGACGTTAAAGCTGGTTATATTTTTCAACATTGTGCCTGATACACTAGAGGAGGCAAAAAAGAATTTTTCAAAAGAATCTTTTTTTATGTATTCTTTTTTGATTTTTAAAAATGATTTATTTGTTTAATTTTTATTGTTGTACTGGGTGGAGGTACATTGTGACATTTATAAAAGTTCTTACAATATCTCAAATATATCATACTTGAACTCACCACCCTCCCCATTCTTGGAACAGGTTCAACAGGTATCATTTTTCCATTTACATACATGTGTACACAGTATTTGCATTATATTGACCCTCCCACACCCTATCACCACATCCCCCCTGTCACTGATACCAACCCCCACAGTCAGGACCTGTTCCTCCTTCCTGTTCTCCAATTTTGTAAAAGAAAGAAAAAGAAAATAGAAAAGAAAAGCCGTGCACTGGTGGCTCATGCTGTAATCCTAGCTACTCAGGAGGCAGAGCTAAAGAGAATTGTGGTTTAAAGCCAGCCCAGACAAATAGTTCTCAAGACCCTATCTTGAAGACACCCAGTACAAAAAGGAGCTGGTTGAGTGGCTCAAAAAGTAGAGCACCTGCCTAGCAAGTGTGAGACCCTGAGTTCAAACCCCAGTATTGCCAAAGAAAGAAAAAAAATGACATTTTTGTTTGTTTAAGATAGGTACACATGGAGTTTCCTTATGAAATTTCCTGTATATATGTATTAAAACCTGAATTAGTTCATATCCTCTATTTTTCTTTTTTCTGTCTTAGTCCCCTTCTTATGGTGGTTTCAAGAGATTTAAAACTTCTGTATTCATTCTTGTATAGTGAGTACCTCAGCCATCTTAACTCACCTTCTTAAACTTCCTTCTTTTACCTTGCCCCTTTCATATGAGACTTCCCCTTAGTGTGAAAGAATCTTCAATTTTTTGTAAAGAAGAGTAATAAAATAAATTCTAAAATAAGTAAAATGAATTTTTGTCCCTTAAACTGCCAGATGTATGGGAATCATTATCATATTGGTAATGCATTTAGTATACATCAAGGTGTGCAATTTCTATAAGCAATATATAGTTCAGAGCCCAAACTATGATTTATTAAAGCAAGAATTAAAAAATATTTAAGCTGGCATGGTGGCTTACACCTGTAATCCCAGCACGTGTGAGGGTGAAGCAGGAGGAGTGTGAGTTTAAAACCAGCATGGAGTACAAAATTCGTGGAGCCAATATATAATGCTACTTCTATTTGAGTAATGGTAGGATTCTGAGTGATTGTCAGTTTTGAATTAACTTGTCTGACTAATCAGGGTAGATTTTTAAAATTAGTATAGTTAGTTACCTTAAGTATAAAAGGTCAAAAAGTTTCAGATTTAGGACTGGGGATGTAGCTCACTAGTAGAATGCAGATATGCAAGGGCCTAGGTTCAGTCTCCAGCACTGCCAAGAGAAAAAAAGTTTTAGATTAAAAAAAAAGTTCCAGACTTTGGAGCACTTCAGAGTTTAGATTTTTAAATTAGAGAAGTTCATCCAATAAAGATAATGCAGATACTCCAAAAATCCAAAGAACTCCAAAATCTAAAATATTTTTGGTCTCAAACATTTCAGCTAAGGATACTCAGCCTATATTCTTTTCTGTCCTTTCTCATTTCCTTCTTAGGTCCCTAGTGTATATCTTTATTTCCTTTCTTTTTTGGAGCTAGGGATTGAATACAGGACTTGTTTATCTCCATCTCCCCTGAGGTACACCTGCAGCCCCCTTCATATTTCTAAATTGTTCTTCCCTTTGTTTTTACCATTTTTTTATTTTTGTTAACTTTTTTCTCTTATGCCAGCTATAAGCAAGTATATGCTGTAAATTAATAAATATACATCTAATAGTATATAATCTGTGAACTGTATTTTTTGAGGAGGATACTGCTGGGGTTTGAAGTTAGGGCTTCACACTTGCTAGGCAGGTGGTCTACCACTTGAGCCATGGCCACTAGTTCTTTATGTTCTGGTTATTTTTAAGATAGGGGCTTGCTTTTTGCCCAGGTGGGCCTGTATTGTGATCCTCCTGTTTTACACTTCCTTCAGTCTCTGGAATGACAGGTGCAGCTACCATGACCAGGTTTTTTCCCATTGAAATGGGGTCTTGCAAACTTTTTTGCCCAGGCTGATCTGGAACCATGATCCTCCTGATTTCAGGCTCTCCCATATCTTGGGATGACAGTTGCACACCACTGTGTCCAGCTGTTGGTTGAGATGGAGTCTTGGGAATTATTTGCTTGGGTTGTCCTCAAACCATGATCCTCCCAAGTAGGTAGGCATGAGCCATTAGTGCCCAGCAAACTGTAATCTTTTTTAAAGTAGTGTTTTTTGTTTGAATGTAAGGCTTACTTGCACAATTATAGTTTATTTTAGTGTGTTTTTACATCTTAGAGCAATATATTAAAGTTAATTATTTTGGAATGGTACTGAGTTTGAACTCAAGGCATTGCATTTGCTGGGCAGCATTCCATCTCCAGACAGATGACTGAGTAACTGCAGTCTTTTTCAGAGCTATGTAGCTCAGACTGGCCTGAAATTCACTCTTAGTCCAGGCTGACCTTGAACTCATGATTCTCCTGCCTAAGCTTCCTAATTGCTGGGAATAACTGAAATCTTTGGCTAGTGATAGATTTACTTCTATTTCTGTTTTTCGAGGTCTATTTAAATAGAATTAAATTAGGCCCACATACACTATTCCTCTATATTCACATACCACTCATATCTTGATTAGACTATTGCTTATATTTTGGTTTATTACAATTTAGCTTACTGAATGCTAACTGACATCTCCATTTTGTGATTCTATAGGCCTGTCCGAAGATTTTCATGCTAAGGACTCTAAACCTTCCTCTGACCCACCTTGTGTCATAGAGAAACTCTGTTCTTTACATGATGGCCTAGTTTTGGAAGCAAAGGGAATAAAGGAACATTTCTGGAAACCCTATATTAGGAAACTTTATGAAAAAAAGGTTTGTCAGTAACAAATTACATGAGATGTTTTTAAGAAAGACTTGATTTCACATGGTGATTTAAGGATCTTTCTTTTTCATCAAAGCTCCTCAAAGGAAAAGAAGAAAATCTTACTGGGTTTCTAGAACCTGGGAACTTTGGAGAGAGTTTGTGAGTACTTCTGTTACAGAATTATTTTAATATTTAGAAATGTGTACTTTGGAAACATTAGAATTCAGTGTTTTTATTGTTTGAAATTTAGAATATTTCATTAGAGAATACATGGAATCCATAAAAATTCTGTCAACTTCTACTATAATCACATATGTTTAAATTTAGTAAAAAAATTGTTTGTTTTAATTTAAAGCTTTATTAGCCAAGGTTTTGGATTGTAAATTTTTAAATAAATACTTTTGGAGTTAGGCATGGTGGCACATGTCTATAATTACCTGCACTTAGAGAGAGATTGATTGATTGATTCAGGAAGGGAGGAAGAAAGAGAAGAAGAAAGACTACTTTTGGAACTGTGCAAGTGAAAGATGTGAAAGTACACGTCTTCATAGGTGCCTTGAACTGTTTGGAGAAATAGCTAAGCTTCTTGTCAGAAGCTGCTCCTACCAATCAGAATGACCCAGGATCCCCACCCTGAAACACTGTCAGTGAAATATACTCACTGTGTCATGGTGTGCTGAGTATAGCAAGCTTATCTTTTATTCTCTTTTGTTTTTATCATTAACATTTATCCTATTGAAATTTAACTTTCAAAAAATTATTAAATGATATAAGTGATCTGAAGCATTAACTTAAACAGCAGTCTGTGAGAAAGTACATTTGTCCATTTTTTTTTTCTGTAGTAAAGCCATCAGTAAAGCCTATGAGGAGTATGTTTTATCTGTTGGGAATTTAGATGAACGGATATTTCTCGGAGAGGATGCTGAGGAGGAAATTGGGACTCTCTCACGGTGTCTTTATACTGGTTCAGGAACAGAGAGTGCAGAAAGAGTGCAGATGAAAAACATCTTGCAGCAACATTTTGACAAGGTCAGTTGAGCCAATTCCAGATGAGTAGAAATACAGGAGTAGATGAATTGAAGCTTCTGTCATATTTTCATAATCCTGTGTGTGTGTTTTATTTGCTTGCCACATGCAAAAGAAAACTCCCATCATACTCCTTTTAATTGAAAAAGTTATCTTATTGATTGCTTTTTGTTAATACCAAGTTTGAAAGATTTTCTTTATCTCTGAGAAGAGGATTTACTATAAATTGAAACAAATGTATCTTGTTGATAATTTTTGGTTTTGAAAAGATGGAGTCAGTAGTATACAGCTTTATGCATGATGAATGTAGTGAATATTTACAAAATATTAATTGATTTGATTTGGGACCTTTCCTTAGGAGACTGGGAAAACTGAGAATCTGAAATTTTTAAGATAAACCTGTTAAACTGAGTTTCAGGATCATGTATTTAAGTTGACTTTTATGATGGAGACTAAGTTTCCCTTTCCTATAAGTGCATTGCTTCAGAATTGAGACTGGGGTCTGCTTATTCATTTAACAATATTCTAAAGGTATTTTATGTACAAGATTGTTTCCTGGAGACTGGCAAATATAAAATAGCTACAAATACCCTGTTCTAAAGAAGCTTGTATTTTAGTGTGTGGAGCTATGCTAGGGTGGGGAATTAAATATCTATAGTATGTTTGACTAAGATATATGAATAAAAATAAAATAGGTTAGTAATACAAAGTATTTGGGGTAAGGAATAATGGGTTGGTCTTGGGTTATTGTAGACAAGGTGGTTGGGAAAAGTGTCTCTGAAAAGGCAGTATTAATACAGACCTCAGGTGAGGAAGCAAGCCTTGGGCATAACTGGGGAAATATATTTGAAGCCAAGAGAATAGCAAGTACAAAGTCATGAGGTGGGAACATGACTGACAGTTTGGAGGCATAGGGAGAAGGCTGGTATGATAGGAGTAGAATGAGTTAGGGAAAGAGTGGTAAGAGAAGGGAGAGGGGAACAGGATGCAGGCAGGTCATGTAGACTTTGGAAGTCATTGTGAGTACTTTTTCTTTTGTTCTGATTGAAATGAAAGCTTTTAAAAGGGTGTTTTTGAGAAAAGTAACCCTTATGTGATCTGAGGGACATTTTTAAAGGTCATGTGGGGAGGTACAACCAGGACAAGGAAGAAAGTAGGGAGTTAAAGGGGCTATTGCAATGATTCTCATAGTTTATGGTAGCTTGATTCAGAGAAATGATTGTATTTGGGCCACATTTTGAATATAGCGCCCACAGCATTTACTGATGCTTTCGATTAGGGTGTCACAGAGGGAGAAACCAGTGATGACCGTTGGGTGAATGATATAAAACCAAACAGCCTTACAAATGTCTGAGTGATCTGGTCCTAAGAGATCTGGCCCTGTTACCCAGAGGTAATTGTCCTGTTGCTTTCCTCCTCACCATTCTACTCATGCCACATTAACTCCCTTTTCATTCCTTAGATATGCCAAGCATATCATTTCACAGCCTTTGCCCTCATAGTTTCCTCTGCCTAAAACATGTTTGTTCAGCTTACTTCTTTACTTCCTCACTTATAATCTGACTACAGTATAAAATAATAACCACAACATCCTGCAATGCTCATGGTAATCTTTCCTCTTAATGTGCTGTTAGTGTCCCTCTAGTATTTATTGCTGTCTGACAGGAAGTAGGTAGGT